GTTGATTCAGGCCAAAGGTGAGGCAGATAATGAATGCATTACTCATTATCCAATGGGAATTGATCAGTTCTGCGAATCCGCACTCTGCTGGACTGCATAAAACATATTGCAGTGCCTCCGCTTCCATTTCCATTTCCATTGCCATTTCCATTTCCCCCCAGAATGTGCTACAAAAAAACTTGACAAGAATGAGGGAAAACATTTTCCACTTGCATTGTTTCTATCCGGACGACGATGATGCCCCACTTTGCTCTGTCTGCGAGTGAGTGTGCGTGCCGCATAAATTTCATTTTGAACAATAATAAGAAAAGTTGGATGCCGGTGGCCTGCGGGCCAGGCTTCCAGTCAGATCAAAATCACACAAACGGCAACAATGGAGGCCATATATGAACACGCTGTGTGTGTAAATAAGAAAAACACCGAAACAACAGTGGGGCGTAAAAAAATGAGTGAAAAACGACAGCTGACAGCAGGCCAGGGCCATGTTACGCATACGCACCATTGAGCGGCCAAATCGCATTACGCATTCGCCATGTGGTCAGTGCAACCTGAATGCGAAAAAATACCGGCCAGCTTAATTACAACCTCCGGCGGGCAGGCTGGCCCACTTTGATCCGGCATCGAGCAGGGAACATCTCAATAAAACACGCTCTCCCGCGGCAATATGCTTCGGTCTGCACCGGATTGGGTTTCATATGCAGAGGATGCAGCCCGGCAGCATTTGCATTCTGCTGTCGGTGCCCCAGCATACGTGACTCCCCCTGACGAGCGACACTTTGACACTTGAATAGAGCCGGGCAACGGGACGGGATAGCTCTGTCATCGCCATTGTGGACACGTCTTGCTGCTCCTAAGCCAATTAGATGGAACAAAGGCCAGCGCCGCAAGAGGTGCCACGTGTTGCTGGGGCATAAACAATTTAGAGAGGAATTTTCCCGAAAAAAGCACCATAAAATCAAAGTAAACAAAGAGTGCAAAAGCTACTTTTTTGTAATCACATTCGGGGGATTTTACTTACAATTTTTCGCTGATTATCGGCATCGAGTCGAGGCCGTGATGACGAGCAAGCCAAGAAAAAAGCAAAGCGGTTTATTGCGTATTTTTTAGGTCAGAGCAAACAGCAAACGGGCACTGGGGCACTTCCTCGATTGGAGCGTCTTCTTACCTCGCTGCATGTTTACCCTACTGTGTTTGCCTTTAATCGCATCTGCAATGAGTTTTCCGACTTTGATGAGTTTGCTCGCCCCGGGCCAGCAGCCGAATTTCCATATCAATTAGCAGCACTCGCCCTGATCGAACATTTCCGGGTGTTTGCCCAGCAGCAGCCTCACCGTCACAGTGTATCCGTATCTAAATCTATATCTGTATCTGAATAAATAAACTTCTAATGAAATCCGATATTCCGTGCCACTTTATGGTCTCGCCCGCCATTCAGTTACTGGCCCGAAAGGCAAAGTAACTGCAGGAGGAGGCCACAGGACATGTTGCTTCCCTGGCACTGGGCAACAAAGCAGAAATGTTTAAAAAGCTTTGAACACGAAAATTTTGTATATATTAATTTTGAGATGATAAGAGCTTTTAGAATTTTATAGCCTGGAGGGGTATTTTAGTTATTGCCCGAACTTTTGAGCGCATATATAAAAATGGATCAAAATCAAGCTCTAAGTTGATCTAACTCCCTTAATTTAAGGGCTCTTTGGATATATTAGCTTTACGCTGGTCTTCCTCGCCTTGCCAGTGGTATTAAAGTTGGTCTAGGCCGGTTTTTACAACAATAGTCTCTTAGAATCAATCAAAAATGTGTAGATAATGTGTAACATTGTTGTTTTTCAATATAGTTTCGTCTATATGACAGTTTTTTATGATTGCAGAAAAATTGTATGTATAACTGAAATTTATATATTTGCATTTCAATTTAATAGAGTACCAAGAGGTAAAAAAAATAAATGAAAATTAAATGAATTAAAATGTAAAGCGGTTCCCGTCATCTGGGGCTTTATAACGCATTTTGTATGCCGTTTTGCCGTTGTCCAGTGTAAGCGTCCTTGTCGCCAGGTGGCTTGCGGTGGCTGGCGTTGTGGGTGGACAGGTAACAGCGGGCTGGAGGTGTTCCACACTTGGCTGGCCACATCATCTTGTCGGGGCCACACTGTTTGCGATGAAATGGCCGCACTTACGGCTAAGTGGATCCTGGGTTCGAGCCAGGTCACAGTTCGCCTCGGTCCAGCTGGGGCTGGCCGCTGGCGAAATTGCACTCGCCACCCCGGCGCCTTCGTCCGATAAGTTTCTAATGAGTGGTAATCGACGTTCGGCTGCATGTGTGGCCAGGAGCCCGAGGGCGCTTCTGGCCAACAGACCGTTTTTTGTGGCAACTTTGGCGCACTCGAAACTCAATTTGCCTTTGTGCAGGACAAGGGCTGGAGGAGCAGAGGAGCAGCGGCTGTGCGCTGAGGTGAGAACTGCAAGGACTCGCTCGCAGACGAGTATACTCGTAATTATTTAAACTGTCAATGGACAGCCGTAGTGCGGTGTGTGTGAATAATGCACAGACACTTTTGGAGTAATGAAGAGCGTCATACCCGTGTTTAATATCGCTAATGGCTGCGCCGAAAGGGTTGGTCCGTGACACCGGTCGTTCCCGTTTCTTCACCTGAATTTCTAATGAAATCGTCCAAGTTTTTATTACATCAGCTAAATCCAATTAAACGTGGCTGCCAGGCAGGACTGAAAACCAATTTGGCATGCCGAAAATGTTGCTGCGAAAACGGATTACAATAACCCCGAGAGTTGCTGGCTGAAATGCGCCAAGAGCCAAATTGAATTACTTAAGGCCAAAAAATATTTAAAAAATACAAAATCCACTCGACAGTCCAATGCGGTCACTGTCCAAACGTCCATACGAGTTGAGAAAAATAACAGAAAAACTAAATATAGAATTTAGCCGAACCGAAAACCAATTAGGAGCAGACACTTTTTGATCTCATTGTGTGCGAAAATATTAAAATTGAATATTTAATGGCCATTCTATCGGCAGCAAAAAAATAACAAGAAACAAAGGATAAGGATGGCAAGTATTATTATTCTCCCAGTTTATTCATATTTATGATGGGGCGGCGGCTCCCGTTTGTATTTCCCTTTTTTGCCAGCTTGTTTTCCATGCTCATTTATACATCTGCCACTTGTGGCTCGCTCGAGTGCCTGTTATTGCTGCTGTTGTAGCAACAAATTGGGGGTTATTCCCCCGACAAACTTACAATTTCCGTTGGCTATTCACACAATTTTGGGAATCGAGTTGTTGTGCTGCTCCGGGTTCTTGTCCCGGTCTGGGTCCTGACCCAATATTTTCAGCTTGAACAGGCAGAGCTACTGCGTGTGTGGCCAAGAAAGCCAAGGCAATCAGCTTGTATCTGCTTATGGATTTTCGGTTTTCCATGGAAAACACTATAAACTTGCATCGGGCCAATCGGCTAGCACACTTTTATGGGCTTCCTGGATAGGAAAATATATTTTAGTTGATTCGCTTTTCGAAACGAAATGAAAATTTTGCAATCACCGCAAAATTGCTGTTGCTAAATATGCAAACAGTTTGGTAATTATCATTGCGTGCAAATTCAATTCGGAACAGGAATTTTCAATTAGGGAACCTGGCCAGAATCCTTCTAAAGCTGCAAGCCATAGTTGATTTATGCCCTAACAAAGTCTGTGAATTATCTTTTTCTTCGTTCTCCCATTTTGTAGCTACATTTTATTCCCTTTCATTTTCTTTGACATCCTTTGTGCGGTCTCATGTTTTCCCCTCGACTGGTAATGCAATGCCTTTTTCGCCTCTAATTGGCCATCTTGTTATTTTTAGTTGAAAGAAATTAATCAATGGAAACAACCTTTTCACGAAACAAAATCATCAAAGAGATTATTAGAGTTTATATTTGCACATTAAGACTGCCAGAGGTTATATTTTATTACTTTCGAAATTCCCATAAAATGTAAATAAACCGACTATGTGGCAAAGGTTCCAAGAAAATATACGATATAGCAAAGGCAGAATGGTAGCGATCTAAATTTAGAGTATATAAAGCCTCAAATTGTCGATTGACGTGGTAATGACGAATGTTTTCCCCCAACATCTGACTAATTCTGATGACATTTTATCTCTGCCTGCGTCTTGGGTGATATCTTGTTTACGGAAAATTGTTTGGCTCTTATCAGGGAACCTAATAGCCGTGAGACATCGATCTCTTCTCGAATGAGTTGCCGCGGCAGCAGCTGTCCAAACAGCGGCCGCCTTCCGCTTATAATGAGCGGCATTCCCGAGCATTCGGTTCAGTCTCAACCTAACGCGCAGAGCGGAGTGTCGGAAATACAGAAGTCGATTTTGCAAAGGAATATTGTTTGCGTCGAGCAACGGTTAGCATTAGAATATTAAAATACTTAAAGTACTTAGCCATTGTGTTCTTCTCCGCTTGGATACGTCCAACACCATGGTTATGGCTGGCAGCTTGCGACGTGCCCGGAAGTCGGGGGAAAAGAATAAAATAAAATAAAATAAAAATGCAGAATAAGAGTGAAGAATATATAAAGCAAAGCGAGGAAGCCAGAGAAAGTAATTCAAAAGTTTTGCCACAGAGCAGAACATGCAACAAAGGCCAAGAAAAATTGAACTCAACTTGATGTCTAATTTAAAACAAACCCCAAAACCAAGCCCGGGCAAACCAAGCCAGACCGGGTGAGGCCAGATCCTGATCCCGATCCCAGAAGCCAAAACAAACCGCAACAAAATTTACAACTTCAAAACTTTGCCATCCTGCCAGATGTGTGTGTGTTTGTGTTTGAGGGTTTCCGTTTTTTGTTTGTTTTGTTTTTTTTTTTTTTATTCTTTCCTTCATGGAGAGGGTGGGTGGTGGGGCGGGGGTCAAGTACATAATTGAGATTGAACTGCAAAATAAAAGTTGACTCAGAGTCGTGGCGACTAATGCACAATCTTTGCTTGCTGCCACTTGCAGACCCGCCAGCCAACCGAAGGAGATGAATCGAACCGCCGGCCGCAGACTTCCGGCCCTCCAGTTTGCCCTGCTGCTTAGCCTGGTGGCCCTGGCCACCGCCCGTCCGCCCACCGAGGATGACAGCGACGGGGCCATCCTCCCGCCGGATGCCGACAATGTGGAGGTATGTGCCCGAATGGGAAATCCAATCTGGCGTCTGTTTACCCCCAATGTCTCTCTTCCAACAGATCCATCAAGTGGAATTTGTGAATGGCGTCATGCAGGAGGATCATCCGGTGATCATGTACAAGGAGGATTTCGTTACCGAGGATTTTGGTAAGAGATTATCTGTCTTACTTGTGCAGTTTCACTTAATAAAATCAATATTGAATCCTTATCCTTGCGTTTAGACCCCGCTAAAAACGCCACCAGTCCCGGACACCACAAGAAGCACAGGCGAACGCACCATCGCCATGCAGAGCCTCAGCCAGAGAACGAGGGCGAAAAGATCCTGTTCGATGTCCTGCCCGACAAACCGATTGTGCTGAAGGACGACCTGGAAGCAGCGCCGGTAAGCAACTTGGAGGCCACTCAACTGGTGACGCCCGTGAAGGAGCAGTTGCTGCGGAAGCTGCCCAAAAAGTACCACAGTCGCCAGCGTCGAAGCCCGCAGTGGAACGGGATTGTCAGCGGCTATTCGTACAGCAGCCACCTTCCGCTGCAGACCCTTTACTATATTCCTCGGTAAGATGCATTTATAGGAAACGGCCAGCCAGAAGTACAACTTCCCATTTCAGTCTAGCGGTGTCGGGCAAGAAACCCAATTTGCAGGGAGGAAATCGAGGCTCGCAAACGAATAAGATCGTGAATGAGGAGGTGCCAGTGCCAGATGATCTTCCAATCCGACTTGACTTGGAACACGACTCCAACCCAGCCAATGCGGACTTCAGTCAATTCAATAAGCCAAGGCCCACGCGCCCCTCGAACTCGGTAGTCTCGGGTGGTGGCCGTGACGGTCCCCTTTCCGGAGGAAGCAACGCCTTTCCCCGACCCGGTAGGTGGCCACTAAACGCATTATCCCTAGACTCAGTATCCATTCGAATATCCGTGAATAACCAAAAGGGCTTTGCTAATTAACTGCCATCGAACCCACAATAGCCGCCTCTGACTATCGCTTCACCTTCCGCCCGACCTGACCTCTTACCCTTTTGTACTCTTTGTGAATCGATAGAGAACCGGCCGGCGACGAACAGGCCCCCGCAGAGCCAGGCCCCCACCACCGCGCCCAAGGTGACCAACTGCGTGTGGGCGATCGTGAACTGCTGCGACAACGGCAGCAAGAAGATCCGGTACAGCTGCTTCGAGTCCTTCGGCTGCCACGGCGCCTTCTGGGGCATCAATCCATGCGCGGACGAGGGCGTGCTCGACGGTTCGTTGGCCCAGGTCCTGCGCGCCTTCCCGTAGGCGGCGGGCAGACTGGCGTTGCTTCGCGGTGCTGCTTCCAGCCTATTTGCCAAATGTCTCAGCAACACTCACATATAATTTATTTTACACGCCTAAGTCTAAACTCTTGTAAATAAAGCGTTCGCTTGTCGCGAAACATCCCTTCTAAAAGTCTGTTGCCTGCTTAGCGATATATTAACTCCGTAGGATAACCAAACCTAACACAGACACCTGCATGTAGTATTCACCATTGTTTAATAACCATTTACCGAATAGGAAACCTTTTCAAAACTTCAGTACAAAAAATAATTATTTTAATGGTAATGTTAATTGCATGTTAATGAAGTATTTTAAAAAATATAGCGACTGAGATATGCATGAATATAATTTAACTCTCCAAATATAAAATTAATTTGAATATATTTATAATTGTTATTATTTCTTTATCATTTTTACTTTTAAATGTAAGCAAAATATGATTTAACATTCTATGAATTCCCTTTTGAATAAAGTATTTTAAAATTAAAATTAGAGGGGTTTGCATGCAAATTAAATTTCGTTTTAGAGTTAGTGATAACTGTTTTAATATAACTTTAATTGTATTTAAATATAAATTTTTTATTCATATTCAAATCGTTCTATAAATATTATAATATGGTTTAAATTCCCTCATTTCTTTATTTTTGCAACATTCTTTTATTGATATCTAATATCCTTTTGAATGAACTGATATAGTAATTAAGCACATTATAGTTTCCACGAATGGCTTTCCAATCCTGCTGCCTCATTCATCATTTCTGTGTAGCCAATCATCGCCATACAATCGAAAAAGCAATTTACAATTTTCCCATTTGGCCCTGCGACTTTCAGTATGTTTGTTTAATTGGATGCCAATCGATTGTCCAGACATGTAATCCGCTCACAATTCAATTGCAATTACACAATCCCTTCAGCCATATCAATTAACCAACTGGCAAGAGGCCCTCGGCCATTGGCCACTGGCCATTGATGGCCTATCTTTTAATTGCCCGTCTATTACGAGCCGCAGAACACAATTTACACCTGCAAATCCAATTGCAGATCCTGCTCGGGGACATCATTATTGTGCTCCTCCATAATTGGTACATATGCACACGGAAAGAAAAACGATATAAGTTGGGCGTTAATTAGAAATTAACTTGATTAAGATAATTGCCATCCTGTCAAGCCATTCCTCTGGGTATTCAGAATGTACTAAATAAGAAAAAGGAATCGATGTGGCTTATTTTTATATTATTTTATGTGGAAATTCTTCTTCTGCTTCACAGAGATTTCAAATAAAAGTAAAGTTAAAGTAAACTATTCACACAAATACATATTCCATATTTACTAAATTAAAATTTATAAATGAACCTTTGACCTTTGAAAATTACCATATATGTTCATACACAACGGAAAGAAACTACAAGGAAATTAACATTCATTTCGCTGTGCAGTTGCATCAGCTGCTGCTGTTCATTAAGGCCTAAACTGCTGCCCGTTGTTCATTAGTTGCCAGAACAAACAGACGCAACCAATTGGTGAAGGCTCACACATGCTCATACCCATACACAACATAACCGAGACACACACACATTATCCTGCACCCACATCGCACCCATCCTGCGCCCTCTTGGCACCCGCTCACTTGCACTTAGCACGATGGTTTACATGCTGACACCTCTTAATTGCAGCCGACGATCTCGTGGCCCAAGCCTATCCCCTATCCAGCTTCACGCCCCCAGCCCCCGCTCCCCAAGCTTCCGCACCACGGCCGTCCTTCAGACAAGGTAAGCCCGCTGCCTCAGCTGCATGCGTTGCATTCGCTGCATGCATTGCATGAGCCACTCCGGCAGCGAAACCGCAAGCCACGACCGCAGTTCTGACATCAGCTCACCTCTCCCTTTGCCACCCTTGCAGACACCCTGCAGTTTCCCCAGGAGCTGGAGCACCAGGCGGGCAGCAATTGCCAGCGGGCCTCCAAGTACTGCTGCAGCCTCCGGAACATCGCCTCGCTGTACGACTGCTACCAGAAGCAGGGCTGCAACGACAGCCTCTCGGACATAATCTCCGGCTGCTCCTAGGCCTGTAGCGGCAGTCGTGTACCGGCATTTACCTTTAGGTCCTAACGCGTTAAGTAACGTCAACAAGCACTCGAGTTTCGAAGGCCCCGCCTGCACCCCAAGACTTATCTGCGGATAAGCCAACACAAATATCTAGTCGGCTGAGGTTCAGCAAAGGCTGGTGCAAGCGGGGCCGGTCCTATGTTAATTAAACGGAAGTCATAAATTATTAAAGATTTGTATGCTTCAAACTACGAAAAGAGTTTTCATTGATGACTAAAATGCTCTTCCATAGCTCAAAAATCAAGAGCTGAGGTAACTATTATCAATTCACACTTGTTTGCTATAATTTAAGCGGACTTGGTTATTTCGTATTGTTTAAATTAAAAGCTTTTCCTTTACCAGAAATTACTCTAATTGGTCCTTTACCGGATAGGATGGGAAACTTTCCATCAATTTACAATTAATTGAATTCTGTTTCAGTAATTATGAGTAAGTAACCAATTGTTAATCATTTTATTGAAATTCTGCTTTTTGCACAGTTGATGAAACTAATTTCCGAACAATTGAAGGCACAGACCAAAGTTGTTAGCTTTTCTTCTTCATTTCTTTTCCACTTTGATTCACAGTTGTAGGTGTCCGCCTGGGAAAACCGCATAGGAAACCGTCCGCAGGCAGGACAACGACAGCTTGACAACAAATCTCCGCTGAGTTAATTTGCCAGCCTAATGTCATTTCCCAGGGAATTCAGGGACCCAATCACAGAACGTAAGGCGATTAGGCAGTGTCCTCCCACCCACAGCCCCTTTTCGAATTGGGTTCAACTGAATAGATCTGCGTTCGCTGTTGTTATTTGGTTATTTTCTGAAGAGGGATCCCCTACACTTCGATTTCGACCAATTTAATAAATAGTTACTTGGCAAGAAAATATTTTTAAAAGAATTTAAGAGTGAGATATTCACATCTGTAAACGGTTGATAATTGTTAGAAATGAGCAAGCGTTTGCATTTCCTTTACAAATTCTTTTTCATTTTTTTCCCTGTGTATGAAGCACTCACCGCTGCCGCTGTCGTAGGATCTGGTGGTGGAGCCACTGGTATTGGAGCGTTTTATCTCGCGTCGACCCATGTTGTCTGCGGTTTGCTGTGGTTCCTCCGGGCTCCTGGGCTGCTTTGGTAGCTGCTGTTGGTGGTGGTAGTGTCGGGGGGAATCTCTGGACACGTGGCACGTGGCAAGGAGCGCACAGGCAGTGGAGGCAGCCGCTTTGGCAACCGCCGAGCTGTAGTTACCAGCAACGGTGGAGCTGTGCTGCTGGGGCTGCTGGAATTGATGGTGGCAGTTCAGCGACGGCGTAGAGGCTGTAGTGCGACCACTGTTGGCCAACAACGCCTGGCCAGAAGCTGTGGGCGGGAACTCAAAGTAGTTGACCTGCAGCTGATTGCCGAGCAAATTGATGGCCGGTTTCGTGGCCAAACCGCTCGAGTTCTCCGCTAGCTGGTGGCTGGTGTGACTGGAGCTACTGCTGCGCCTGTGCTGGTGGTGCTGGTGATGATGCGGATGCGGATGCTGGGAGTGGGGCGGAGTGCTACTGCTGCTGCAGCTGGCCGGGTTCACTTGGTGCGGTGTGGGCGGCGGCGGGGGGCAGGCGTTGTTGATGCTGCTGCTGCTGGTGGAGGATGATTTGCGCAGTGACGATGGTCTCAACCCTTTGACAGGGTACAATGGGTACTATCGTCCGGCAACGCGTACCCAATCGCGGCGGTCACTGTTGTACCAAATGCCTACAAGAAAAGAGAATAATAAAGGGTATATAGAAGTTTATACAAATTTCTTTGATAAATATTTAATTGGAATACTATTAAATTGGGTTATCAATAATTTCTTTGAAATAACTTCTGTGGATTGTTTGGAACTCTTCGTCGTAGATATGACGGAAAAAAGCCTCAAACAATGTAAATTCCAAAAAATTGTGATACAAAATACAAAGATATAAGATACAAAGTCATCAAAATACCTTAAAATATGTATATAAATCTCCCCATAAATAAATTCTAAAAACCCTTAGAGATATTCCATTTTTCTTTGATTTAATATCTTGTCCTTAAATTCATTTTAGTAACCCATTTTTTTGGCTGTGCAGAAACGAGACAATATACAACAGTTGCGGACAACTTGGCTGTGTAATCGTTATTGTAGCCCATCGATAAGCGGACATTAACTGCATGCCACACACACACACAGAGGACACTCGCACGCACACTGGTTGGATTAAGGGCAAAGTGCACTTAAAGCCAACTCCAGTGGCGACGCGTGTCCTGCATGACAACGCAGATTGCGCATACGCCCCGTTAATGTCCGCCATTAGCAACGCCATTTGGGACAGCACGGCCATCGTCGTCGGCCAGCGTCAATTTTGCCAAATATTTGGCACATGAAATCATTTTGCGCTAATAAAATTTAACGCCCCTTGGGCGGTCCATTGATTTCCTGTAAAACGCCGGACCGCAAAAACTGGCCACACACTCCGAAAGTGCCCGCCTTGCCGCCCGCCCACAATAACCGCATTGTAATCGCCCCTAATGGTTCGGCATTAAGATTTACACAGAAAAACCATTAATATCTATGCTCAAGGATTACCCCGGATCGCCAATCAAAATTGATTAAGTCGCCGGAACAATTGAAAGTTTAATGAGGCGAGGGCCTTTAGGGGGTCTTCCCAGAAAAACTAATTGGGCCAAGACAATACCTTTGTTTGCGGAGCCAGAAAATGAACCCTTACAGGGATACTAGTCCCCCGGAATTGCAATTTATATGGAATGCATTTTTCTGCTCACAAATCGGGGAGCAGTCAATGCAATAAGGCCACGACAGGGGCAATAGAAATCAATGCATATTGAATTATGTGCAGATATTCGCAAGGCAAATGCGTTTGCCATTCATTGCCTTTGCCTGGCTGCAGCTCAACAGGTCGCACAGCCCGGCAACCAGGCAACCGAAGGTAAAATCAATTGATTAACTGGGGAAGCATCAAATCGAATCAGCGAGAGGTCGTGTGGGAAAGTCTGTCCAAGAGCAACCCATGCAAATGGAATTGCAACTGCAGTAAACTTGTTTGACGGACGCACTATTAAATTATGGCCAGCCTGCCGCCAGTCTCTGTCTCGATCTGGGTCCCAGTTCCAGTCCCAGGTGGCAAATCAGCACGCAGCAAACCGGAAGACGACGCTCACACAAAGGCGGCCCAACTTGACTGCGCGAAATGCAATTTAACTTAATGGAAGCTTCTCCGGAAGCCACCACCTAGCACCACCACCTTCTTTTCCTGCTGAGAGATGGTCAGCACCAGCTGGCGGTTCAGTGTCAGTGTTTGTCAGCGCCGACACAAAGCAGATCCTTGGGCCAGGACAATTGCTGTCGCCGTCTGCTCATTTGCCACTCTTAAGAGCTGCGTTTTTAGGCAGCTCGAACTTTTAGCTGCTAGCCGCATTTCCTTCATTATATCAGTCAAAGGTCATTATATAATGGCTTTCTCCAATTAATTTTTTGGGACAATTAAAGCTTTCCTGGTAATTTATGGCATAATACTACAATTGTCAATTTTCACGGTAAAATTCAAGACTTATCAAGCTTCCTGGTTAGAGATAGATATCTATAATTACACAGTAATAGTATCCAAGTATCTAAGCTACTCAACCTGCCATTGTACAGAACAACTCATTAGTTATCGAACCAGAATGTCACACAATTGGTGATGTTTAATTGATTTATCTTAAAGCCAAATATTCCTTTTTGCGTATTTATTTAGCTTAATTTACTTAGGAAAATATTATTTGGTTTGGCATCACGTTCGTTACGTATTCAGCTCGACGGTCAGAGAGGTTCGCCTTTCAGGGAAAAGCTCCTTCTTCCACATGTTGCGTGTAATCGGTCTCGATGCGAATTACCATAATACGACACCAGAAAGGACACATAAAAGGCACACACACACACACACACACTCACAGACAGACCCGAGGATATCCGTGCCAGTTCGAATGAATCTCAGTTTGCGCTCGGCCAACTGGAGCGTAGACAAGGAGCCGTTCGAGTTCTTTTCCATCGGAGGACGGATTAAAGCGTCAAATTGTTAGACAAGTTCTTGGTCCTCTTTTTGTTCGGGCGTAGATAGATCAAAGCCGCTGCATATATGCATACATACTCCCTTGTATATATGTATATATGTTATATGGTATGGTACACAAGTCCGCCAGCGAGCACGTGTATGTATTGTGCACCGACGTGGCTTAAGCCCACATCCTCGACAATGCCTTTTAATCAATTCCCCCAGTCGCTCCGCTCCGCCATCAATAAACGAAAGGCAGCCCAGCCCCAGCCCGGAAAATGTGAGTTTCCCTTCTCGACGGCCGGCGCGTGCTTGCCTTTTATTTTCGCCAGTCGGCATTTTTCTTTTTGCGAGTCGGGGATATGTCAATTTTTCTAATGAGTTTGCAGAAATAAATAAATAAATCTCGGACCTAACATTTTAAAGTCCATTTAAAATAGAAAGTGCACAGTAAGCTTGTTGCTCAAGTTAATCTATTTAAAGTTAATAACCATATTAGGCAAAATACAGAATCCCGTCTTTAACGATCGGATTATGCATATGAATCTTGGGCCAAGATACGTGAAAGAGCTGCAATTGTAAACTTTGTCATCATTAAATTTTAAAGCCTTTCTCAGAAGTTTTAACGATGTGGCTTTTAATTTTTTAAGTGAGTTTAAGCAAACTCATATAAACTTGAATTAAGCCTTAAATTGAATTTAAAATGCCATTTTATATTCGACCATCGTGTTTTGGAGCTCTCTTTGCCATTTATTCTAGTGAGTTGGCAGAAATAAATAAACTATGCCGACATTTAATTTTAAAGCCCTTTTAGTCGGCTCTCGCTTATGGAGCACACTGTATGCCTGGCTGACCACAGACCACACACACACACACTGAGACACTCTGACACGGAGCACCCGGAAGCCGTGCATTAAATTTGGTGGCTGCAAGTCCTCGGCTCATAATCACAGGCAGGCAGGCGGCCGCCCACCTGCGAAAATGGAATTTAATTTGCTAATACGCTTCGTTGAGTGGCAACGGGAGCTGGCTGGGGCCTCCTGAATGGAGGTAGTCAGGTGAGACAGGCAGCCTATGATGGGTTTTTCGGGCTGCCATTTTTTGTTGCGCCTGCGGCAGAAATTGTTGAAAATACTTTGCAAATCGTTGCTCCATCTACTCATGCCCGTCGCCACTTATCCCCGCTCCCCGCTCCCGGTCCATGGACCAGACTCCAGTCATTCTCGGCTAAAACTTGGCTTTTACATAGTTGGGCTGGCAGAGAGCTGGTCTGGGCGCTCACATAGTTAAGCCAATGTAAACTTTTTTAATTTGCAATAATAATAAAAAATTCCGTTTTTGGCTGAGACTCAGGCAGCCAAAGAATTTCCAAAGCCACGTCCGTGTCCCAGTACCGAATAATTCAACAAGTTTTATGCGCCACCATCGTCATCATCGCCCTCGTCCCCGTCCTCGCCCCCGTCCTTGCCCTTGCCCTTGTCCCAGTGCTCATCCGCACCCACATCAACATCCACATGCACGTCCACATCGCTTCAAAAATATTTGTGGTTGCTGTCTGTGTTTTACAGCAGCTCGCACACATGAGCGACAGGCTGAACGGGGCGGAGCGCTTAATCCCCGGCCAGCCGCGTAGTTTAAAAACCCATTTTGATTTATGGATGGCCGTGGTGGAGGCATTCAAACACCTGTTCGAAATTTATTAGACTCCGAGCGCACTATAAACAGTGTTCAGCGAGCTGCGAGGCGACAGCTCCCAGCCTGATGATGTATTCACTGGTTGGCGGAACTGCCAATTGGCGATAGCAAAATCAAATCAATAATACCACGAACTCAATCAACTGCAAGTCAGAGGCAGCGGATTGGAAAGGAGGTGGGCGTGGGAGTTTGGAAATCGGAAGAGCCAACTGCTGGCTAAACAAATAGTTGCATTGCCCAAGTCAGGAGCTTGACCCGGTTCGATCGCTCGATAATCTGGCAAATGTTTTCGACTGGTCCATTAGTCCTCCGTCAGCCGGAGGCAATCAACGAGCTGGGGCTTGGCGATGGATTTGGCTTGGCTCCGGCTCCAAAGCTTAAAGTGACATCAACGGAGGCAGGAGCGCGCTCCAACGGGGGTCCAATGAAATGCAGCTCTCTGCCAGGCAGCCTCAAATGCTCATATTATGTTCGAGGAAACTTTGCATCTTGTCTAAAGTATTTATGGAATTTCCCATTCCAGTTCGGCTATGTCCCAGCCAGACAATCGAAAGTCTAGGCACTGAGAGAATATATTTTCTTATTTTAAATCTCACAAACTCGATGCTTTTGAATATATAAAATAAAAGCTGGGAATTTATTTAAATATATTTCTACAAATAAATGTTAAGCGAGTGGCTTGACTTAATGTAAAATAAATCTGTACTCAACTAAATGTCCATCATAAAAGATCTTCCCTGCAAGTGTATAATCACCCAGTTCAAAACTCCTGAAAAATATTTATGAATTTCTTTTAATTGAATAAATTCCGGGCCAATCGCATACTCTAAAAAGTATTTCCCCGCTTGAATGCCTTAGTTTTTATAACCCATTTTACCAGTGCACCTGTTGTCGGCGCTGTCATTGGCCTGCTCGTTTAGCCCAAAATCGATTACGGCGCCGGAAAAGGGATAGCTCCGAGCGCAGGATGAAGAGGACGAGGAGCTGGGCCATTTAAGTGGGACGGGTGCAAACGCGATGCTAAGCGAAAGTGGCAACATGTGGCCAGGTGACAGGGGGACGTGCCGGGTTTGGCCCGAAGCGACGCTCTTTTTTCCCCACGGTATTTGTAGCTACAAAGGGCCGCTTGATTGAACGAGTGTCCTGCTGCCCGGGCACCTGAAGCACTGCTGATAAGCGGCGGTTTGGACACGCGACCTGCAGAAGCTTCACTGCTTGTACTGTGCGTGTTGTCGCACCCGGAAAAAGTTGGAGCTTTTTGCACACCTGCGGCCACTGACAACTGCATCTGCGGATGCTCCAGCGGGACAGGTGGAGAGACTGGGATAGCCTGTTTGGGTGTCACTCCGCCGGCTGTTTGTGTAAGCCGCATACGCAAACATAAACGCAGAAAAAAAAGGCTCCTCCTCCGCCACTGACCCCTGTAAATAAAGCCTGTTGCGAAACAGCAGCAGCAGCAAAAGTTGGCCGCGGGAAATGGCTGGCAAGTGGTGAGAGTTTAATTAAAACTTAATGAAATGAAGAGCAATACTTTCATTGGCCA